AGTTTTTCTTTTGGCTATATTAATGTAGTGTATGGGATTCCTTAGTGGGTGTGCTAGTGGGAGGTGCTTGGGCAACAAGCGACCATGCATCAGGTGTAACAGTCACTTTCTTTGTTGTCCAAGCAAAGACTCAACACGGCCCTCCAAGATTGATGTGTTTCCCCAAGAAAGACTCATTTTAAAGACGTTCCAAAACATGTAGGGGCCTGGACTATGCGGACTTGTCATTAATTGTTATCCAGTTGCGTTTTGATTATCCTGTAATTTTAATACATAGATTGTTTTATGTCTTTTGGCATTGAAAGATACTGTGCTGGTGATTTTAACACAGTCTTCTTCGGTGTGCACACTTGGGGCGGTGTAGTTTAAGTTTGCGTCTGGATTTGTAGTGGAACTGTGGTGTGATTGCTTAGTTAGCGTGAGCGGTAAATTAAATTGAGCCCCACACTGTGCTGCAGCCTCTGGCTGTTCTCGCTTTTCCTAACTTGACCTTTTGCGGGTCCAGTGGGTATGTTTGTTTTTTTATTAACATATTTGCATTTTCCAGCCATCCACCCATCTATTTCCTTCTGCTTATTCAATGCAGGGCAGCAGTTGGATTGGATCCTCTCTCAGCTGTCACAGGGCAAGGAGGGGGGTTATTCCCTGGACAGGCTGCCAGTCTACTGAGTGCTAACCATTCACACTAGCATTCACAACCAATTTAGAATCACCAGTTAACCCACATGCATGTCTTTGATAGGACGCACCCACCCACACACACACACACTGAAAGAACATGTAAACTCCACACAGAAAGCCCATGGCAGGTTTTGGATTTTAATCCCAGACCTTTTTGCCAAGAGGTAATGGTAGTAGCCACTATTAACCATCTGCATTTTTACATATATATATATATTAATATAATTAATATATCTCTAATTATATATTTAAAAAAACTGCAACAGCACTTGTGCAGTGTTTATTTAATTTCAGTACAGTGGTAACCCTTCTCGTGAGCCACATTAATATGAGTGTAAGTCACGATCTTCATTCCTCTATGCCACCCTTAACTGTTCATTCATATATTTCATGGTAATTAATAACTCATTTTTACATGAGATACTTCAGATACTGCTGACATGCAGACCTGCATCTGTAGCAGCCAACATACGTGGCTGTTGTCTTACGTGGACTTTTGTAGACCCCTTTCCAGCAGAATTGGAAGGAATCCAGCTTCAGCTTCCATTTTTCTGATCTTTTTGACAATCAGCACTTTGATTGTGTGTTAAGTCAGAAGGTTACTGGCAACGCAACCGTGTAAACAAACAGTTCAGCAAGAAATTAATTAAACTACTGTCATAGCGAGTCCTGCACATGCCTGTGAACACAGCTCTAATTATCTTAACTGTCACCATTCCCAGATCTCTCAGTCAGACCGCTAACTAACGAGTTGAAGATCAAACATCTTTGGCAAGTCCAACCTAGACTTGGAACTAAACTATCTTATTGGCATTTCTCTCACCCACTCTCTCTCCCCCCGTTTTCTCCTCCTCTCTCGCGCACTCTCTCTTCCTGTCTTTATAAAACTGCATTCAGCCTGAGCTCACTCACTGTGGAGAAGCACACAAGGAAGGTCTGCTCTTCACGCTCCTCACACACTCATCTCATCATTGCACTGAGAAACAGCAGCACAGGTAGGTTATCAGCTGATTGTTTTTTAAGGAATTTTCATGTTATTTTATTCTTTTTTATTTATTTATTTTTTTCAGCTGCACCTTAAGCAGTAGTAGTAACATTTTTCTTTTTCCAAGTGCATAAAAATATGTAATTAGAACAGAAACGAGCAGAGTGTTTCCTGTTTTTCAAGCTTTTCCAGTCACATGTAAAACAAGCCTCACAGGTAGGGGCTTATGTTAGGTAATTTCAGAATGTTATATATATATATGGCAACTACATGCTTATCCACATTTTTTTTTTTCAATTAATGCATATAAAGGTATACATTGTTGTGAGCTAATAGTTTTGCATGCCAGACCTCTTTTATGATGCTTCTTGGCATTTTCATCCAAGGGCCTACAGCTGGATTTCTAACATAAAATCAGATTGCAAATAACTGCTGGCATGGACATGTGAAGCTTTGTATTGTTGAAGGGTGAGTGTGTGAACACAAAGGAACCAAAAAGACCTGTGTATGTCATCTAATGCTAAAAAAAAAAAGTATTTTGGAACAGTTAATTGTTCTTGATATGAAATATCTATTAGTCTGTCAAGAGAAAAGGTTTAGATTTGTAATCATCTATATTGCAAATATCTGAATGAGAAGAAATTTGCATCTTTTTAGATAGAGAGCGAGATAGATAGATAGATAAATAGAAATAAATAGAAATCATTTATATATATATTTTTTTTTAATTAATTTTTTTTAATAAATAACAAAATACTAGTAAATGAGAAGTGCTGGAAGGGTGTACAAACCTGTATCTGGGATGGACATATGAGAAAGATGGGGCTGCTGGAGAGCTGGCAGGTTATCTGAAATCTTACACAATGAAAAACATCAGCATAGCAACAGGACACAAGGTGGTGGTCACCCTGCATTAGCGAAGACTCTCACCGGCAGAAATTCTGCAGCAGGCAGATGTTTCTAGATATACGGGCTCTTCTGCAGATGTCCAACATAATGAGCTTTGGACAGGAAACAAAAATAGGTAGCAGGAGACTGTGTCCAACAGATGAAAGAGATATAAAGCCTTATTTTGAGAAGTATTTGGAAGAACTCCAACAGCATCATCAGCTGAGAACCTGTGAAACCCTGATACCCCTATATACAGTACAATACACAGAATTCTGTCAGAAGTGATCTTTCTGAAAGATGAGAGCTTATTTGCCGTCTGTAAAGCAAGACAAGCTCATCACCTGAGTTAAGGGCAGATAAGGAACCCTGCAGCAGGTTCTGGGTTCCTACAAAACTCTGATGTAAAATAAACCCAAACAAATCAATGCATTAATATTGGGTTAGATATAGAGACAATAACATTAAACCTTCATCCACATAAGAGCTGTTGAAAGTTCTCTAAAATGCTTTTATCAAACATAAAAAATGCATATAATAGCATATTAATTTGTTGTTGTTTACTTTTTTTCACTTATACAACGTTTACTGATAGCACTTTATATTTTGTCACTTTGGAGCTCTTTTGGTGCACAAGACTCCATCATTTCTTCTCCTTATTCACATTCAGGTTACTATGTCATTCTGTTTGAGCTTCATTTGTGTGGAAAGTAATTTGGGCGAGCAAAGTACTTTTTATTTGTGCAGATCTGATCTTTTTAACCACATTTAAAGCACCAGGGTCAGTCTTTTAGACCTGTCAGCATCCATTTGGGAAATTGTCACTGAAAGAAAATACACTCTACAAGTATGAAAAAGCCCTGTGATACATACAAATTATGGAGTGCATAATTTCTTCACTGCCGAAATCTGTAAGAGGTTCAAAGGAGAGAATTGTATTCAATTGTACCTGAAAAGAACAAAATCCTGAACAAGCACCAACAAACTATGGAGGAAATCTGATCATATTTTACAATCTTTTCATTTTTTTCACACTCTTGGTGAACATTAGGATTAGCTGTCAGAATCAGTCCTTTGCATCAATGGCAGAATTAATTTGAATGAAAAAAATGCCTTGACAAAGTACAGTTCAGTCCTTAGTTATTCTGTGTACTGCTACACTAAACAGCAGTATAAGTGTCAAGTGTAAAAAGAACAGAATGAGCACAGAAAGTCACAGTCTGCGCTGCAGCTGCAAATGATGTAATCTGGTGAGGTGAAAAGGACAGAAAGATTTTCATGAAATTATGTGCAAAAACAAAACAACCACAATAATAAACCTCATCGATTCTGACTGCGCTCCTTTTAGACTTCATTTCAAAACACCACTGCTTTGCAGAGGGGCTCCTGTTTCATCATCTATTTGCAAATTACTACATTTAGATAATTACACGACACATTGCATCAGCAAGCTGGCTTCAAAATAAGGCTGTGAAGTTATTTTGCACAAGAGATTTAATATGTAGAAATTCAGAAATTTCCATCCGGGTGCTCCATATAATGACAGCCCATTGCAATTTTGAGGAGGTTACCAGCCTTGTAAACTCAACATGATGCCTGGAAGAGCTAGTTTGATAGATCAATTAGTGTACATTTGTTTTCCTTCGTTTCTTTTTCATTCCATCTGGTGATGTTCCAGTTGTCAGCTTCAAGGACAGGTTTAACGTCGATGATGATAAATCAGCAAATTTTGGCTTGCTGATTTAAAACAGTTTTTTACTAGTTAAATATCTGTAGTTCTTTTAAGTCTTCCAAAAGTCTTCGAACCACAGAGCCAAGAGGTGTTCAGTCCCACCTTACACATGTGAAGCTGTTCCTGGTTCCACTTTTCAGGCACACAAAAACAAGGAAGTGGTTGATTTAATTTTACGCTTAAATGTTTCCTCCCGTTAATTAATTAACTCACAATTCCTTCTCTGCTAGGTGGCATGTGACAATAACCGGAAAGGGAAGCAACATTTTAATCAATTAATATAATGCATAAAAACAAAGCATCTTTGTCGTATTGAATTATTCAGTCGATGCAGAAAAGTGCTGTAAGCAGTCAGCTTAATAATCACAGTTTCGAGATGTAGAATGTGCTCTAACAGTAGATACAATCATATGGGTTGACATTCTCAATATGTAGACTTAAGTAGAGAATGCGTGCTGGGCTGTTCATTCATGTTCAAATGCATTCATAACTATCATAATAATGTCTTCTTCTCTTCTCTCCATGACCAACACTTTCTGTGTGTTGCTTTTACTAAAGCAAATTGCTGTTCTGTTTTCCAAATGTCACAAATGGCTTGCACCAGAATGTGGTTACATTTTGTCCAGTCTCGGATTGACTGGACAAAATTGAGATTTTACCTTTGGAAAAGTTAGAATGTCGTGTCGTTTCACTGCTTTTTGTTTTTTGTTTTTATAGTGCAGTTACTGGCAGACTGATTCTGCTCCCATGGAGGGTAATCACAGTGGTTTGACTGGAAGCACACAACCATCTTTGCTAGAAAGACAGACTGATGGGCACATTTATGAAGTTGCGGTACAAACCAACTCCACCAACCGCAGCTCCCAGTTTGCAGACGTGGCCTTGCTGCAAACTTTCAAACCTCTCATCATCCCCTTTTATGTTCTAGTCGTGGTGGTGGGTGTCTTTGGGAATTACCTGCTTCTTTATGTCATCTGCCGAACCCGAAAGATGCACAACGTCACCAACTTTTTCATTGGAAACCTGGCCTTCTCTGACATGCTCATGTGTGTCACCTGCGTCCCCTTTACTCTCGCCTACGCCTTCAACCCTCATGGTTGGGTTTTCGGGCGCACCATGTGCTATCTGGTGTTTCTCGTCCAACCTGTCACAGTGTATGTTTCAGTCTTCACACTCACTGCTATTGCTGTGGACAGGTGAGTGCTCCTTGTGGCATATGAGATCTTCTTTAGATCAAAATTGAATATTTGAATTATTTGAATTCTTTTAAATGTTTTTCCCTTTGTCTTTCCCTCTTTCTCTCTCTTGCTCTGTACATATATATGTATATATCTCACAGACAATTAGAAAGGCTTGAAAACGCATCACATCTCAATAGCAAAAAAACCCATCTTGGATATCTACACTGATATGGACTGGGTAATGTGTTTGGTACAAAAGGCTGCCGCATCATTTGATGGAAATAAAAATGATCAGACCCTGAAAACACCCCAAATATCAAAATGAGAAATTGATGCAGCAGGTCAGATCATTTTGTCGAAATTTCATTGCAGCAACTTAAAATAGTGTTCAGCAGTTTGTACAGATCCCACGTGCTTGTATGCATGTCTGAAAATGTCGAGGGATCCTCCGAATGAGATGATGGCTGAAGTCCTGATTTCCTCCTAAATCCTGGACAGTTTGAGGTGTCGCCTGGCAGAATCAGATGGACTGAAACATAATGTCCCAGAGGTGTTCTATTGAATTTAAGTTAGTCAAGCCTGGGGGACAGTCAGTGGTATCAATTGCTTCATCCTTCAGGAGCTGCCTACATACTGTCACCACATGACGTGGATTGTCATTGTCATGCACCACGAGGAACCCAGGACCCACTGCACCAATGTAGGGTCTGACAATGGGTCCAAGGATTTCATCCTGATACCTAATAGCACACAAGTTGCTCTTGGCCAGCCTACAGAGGTCTGTGCATCCTTCCCCAGACCATCACTGACTCACCATCAAACAGGCCATGTTAAATGAGGTTATAGGCCACATAACCTTCTCCACAGCTTCTCCAGACACCTTTTGTGTCTGTCACATGTACTCAGGGTGAACCCGCTCTCATCTGTTGTAAGCACAGGATGCGGGTGGTGGATCTGCCAGTTCAGATATTCTATGGCAAATGTAAATTGGGCTCCATGGTGCCAGGCAGTGAATACTGTGGAGGATGTCGGACCCTAAGGGCATCTCTGTGAAGTCTGTTTCTGATTGTTGGAACATTCACACTGGTGGTCTGCTGGAATTCATTTTGTAGGGCTTTGGCTCTGGCAGTGCTCATCCTGTTCCTCCTTGCACAAAGGACCAGATATTGGTCCTGCTGATGGTTTACGCACGTTCTACAGCCCCATCCAGCTCTCCTAGAGTATCTGCCTGAATCCTGAATCCTCCATGATTTTGAGACTGCTGGAAGACACAGTAAACCTTCTGGCATGGCACAAATTGATGAGTCATCCTAGAGGAGCTGGACTACCTGTGCTACCTCTGTTGGGTCCAGGTATCGCCTTGGGCTATCAGCAGTGAAACTGATCCTAAATGTGAGAAAAGATGTAAAACCAGTCCTGTTTTGGGGATTGTCTCACTTTTGCTCTTCTAGTGTGACAATTGTTAATTTCATTAACAGCAAAACCGCTGAAACTCATGAAGAACTGCCTTTTTTTGTTGTTGTTTCATGATCTGAAACATGGACAAAGTGTGACAAATATGTAAAAAACAAAAAAAAAGAATAGAAAGACATCAGGAAAGGAACAAATTCTTCACAGTATATATGAGAGACTGTAAATGTGATTATAAATTGCAATTATAACTCATTATGATTACTTGGAAATGAGACATTAGTTTAGAAATTAGGCAGATATGAAGGGAGACTGATTACTGAGTGTTTCCTTTTCATTGAGGTGACACTTAAACAATAAAGATTTTCCACTGAATGCATTAATTCATTTACATGAGCTCCAGACCCAGACAAAACCTAATTATTCAGCTGTATAGGGTGTTCATCATTAAACCCCTGAGACATGCAACAGACCTCAGATTTGAACAGGTCTGCTCACTGGACCCATGAAAAATTCATTGATCTTTAGTTAAGTTTTCAATTGTACTTTGCATTCAATCTACTGCAATGTCTGCTCCTTCTAAGGGGAAGACATTAACATGAAATGAAAAGTCCCTTTACTTTTACAGAGAATATAATGCTGCTGTCATTTTGTGATGCACAACTGGGTTCAGTCTTAAAGTTTAAAATATAAATAATTCACTCTTTTTCCTCGTGGACTGTGCAGGTCACGGAGTCGACTCTGTCTTTTCTAACAAATTTGATTGTCCTTCAGTGAAGCACATCGAATGCAAAGTAACTGGTTATGAGAAAATGATTCAACTTAACATTTATAGCCAATATTATGTAACGCCACGGCCAATGAGCTTGTATTATAATTGTAGGAGTTCACGACTGCATTAATAGCCATTCATTAATTAAGCATGAGCACCTTCCCTTTCTTTTTTTATAAAGTACTGTTCCTTATTCATTGCAGATATTATGCAACAGTTCACCCCCTGAAGAAGCGGACCTCTGTGGCGACCTGTGCCTCTGTCCTTACTGGGATCTGGCTTCTGTCTTGTGGCCTGGTAGCTCCAGCAGTGACCCATACCTATCATGTTGAATTCAAAGAGGAAGGCTTCACTATCTGTGAGGAGTTCTGGTTGGGTCAGGAAAAAGAAAGACGTGCTTATGCGTACAGCACCCTGCTGGTTACTTACGTCCTCCCGCTATCGGCTGTTTTTGTCTCTTATCTCTGCATCACTGTCAAACTGAGGAACTGCGTTGCTCCGGGCCACAGGACGCAGGACCAGGCAGGCGCTCAGCAGGCTCGCAAAAGAAAGATCTTTCGCCTGGTCGCTCTCCTGGTGTCTGCCTTTGCGGTGTGCTGGCTTCCTATTCACGTGTTCAACGTGCTGAGAGACATTGACATTCACCTCATTAACAAGCGTTACTTTTTGCTCATCCAACTGCTGTGCCACCTGTGCGCCATGAGCTCCTCCTGCTGTAACCCCTTCCTGTACGCTTGGCTTCACGACCGCTTCCGCACCGAGCTGCGGAAGATGTTCAAGTGCCATCATCGCATTGGAGTGCCTGCCAATCACTGTGCCGCTAGCGTGGTATTGTAATTGACTAGTGAAGAGCATTCTCTGTCATTAATTTAGTGTCACTTTCTGACTCATCCTGAGCGCAAGTGGAAACACGTCTCACCAGCAAACCATTCCACCTAAACATTCGTGGTAATGCAGTCATTAGTTATAAAACGGGATGGGGGTGAATCTCACGTGGTTTATTTCCTGGGGAGCATGAAAATGTGCATTCATTTTCTTAGGAATCACTCCAAAAAATTAGCAGCAGAGTAAAGATTGTGAGCAAATAGACGATCTGTTAAATGGCACGATCAGTTGTGTTTAGGTGGGAGTAGCACCTGTTTATTTGTGCAAAAGGCTGATCATTTAAGCCAAGAGCGGCGAAAACTCAGAGGACCCAAACCAGGCTAAGGCAAGCATGAGTGCATGCAGCTACTTTTGTGGTTACTTAGATCCACACATTTCCTTTGTATGGGTTGCCATGTGCCACAAGCTGAAAGATAAGAATCCCTGCTAACACGGGGGAGGGTGCATATCAGCAGCAGATTTCATAAATATCAGACGGTTAGAATTCAGACTACTCTGTCATGGATCACAGCGCTGTTTGAAAAGAAATGTTAATATTTAAAAAAAATGTTTGTAATAATTTGTTTAATAGTAATATTTCCAATGAATTAGAGGAGATAAGATAAGAAGGGTTTCAGCTTTTAATCAAAAATGACAGAGAACATATCAGACGGGTGCAGCTTTACTGGATATGAATAGCACATTAAACCATGAGTTCAAATTGCATTTGGAAACCACAAAGGTGGTTGTTTGCACCAGGGGGGCTGGTGTCAGAGCTAATCTTTGTGAAGTGCAAAATTAAATTCATCAGCTTGGTCCCTAAGGCCAACATTTCCTGTATTTGATGAATATGCAGCTTAAGTCATCAAGTTATTTTTGATAGCATAATATAATTGCTGCAGAAAAATAATCATACTGTGGCAGTTGGCTCAATGTTGCTTTTTTCTGTGCTGTGGTTTCTCTTGCTTCCACTGGCTTTTGGAAGTTTGCACATAATGGGAAAGACTGGTTATCCAGGCAGAAAATGTCAAAAGAAAGAAAGAAAGAAGTCATGTTAATGCAGCTTTCTAATAAAATTGTCTACTGCATTTACCAACATGTTACACTGAACTGATAACAGATGAGCTGCCTGTTGTTTACACCATCTTTAATCCAGTTTTATTTAGTTTGCACAGCAGATGTTATGCTTCTTGCTTTGTGTTCTCTGTGTGCACATCTGTGCCTCTGCAGCAGAGTCAGCACATTTCAAATGTTACAGCGTGCTCTCTCTCTTTTTTTGTTGCTTTTTTTCCTATCATATTCTTATATTAAAGGACACAGTATAAATACTTTGCAAAAAAAAAGTGTTATAATGATCACACAATGTTTAAAATGATATAAATAATGTGGTGTGGCATGTAACAACAGTATACAGTAATATGTAGCATGGAAAATCTGAGATTAAATCCAGAGATGAAATGACCTTGCTGTTTCTGACCGGCCCATGGCAGTAACGGGAAGCAAATTATATCCAACTTGGTCAGAGTGCAGCTGCACAGCTGAATTTACTAATTAAATGGAAGAGGAGGATGAAAAGTGTTGTCTGCATATCAATTAGGCCTGTTAGGACACTGAAAAATGTGATAATTTATTGATTTCCCCAATCACATCAGAGAACTTTCTACTTGCCAACAAAGATGTTCGCTTCCTGCAGTGGTTGTTTTTCAGCACGACAACACCCAGTTAAGTAAGTGGAAATTTTTATCATCAACTCATTCAGTCATGTAGGATTTTGTTTATTTAATTTTTGTGTTTTACTTTTAACCTGCAAGCTGATGATTTTTTTTTTCAATATTATCTGCGTTTTTTCTTGTTTGTTTGTTTTGTTTTTAACAGAGAAGGGAAATCATCATTTTGGGCCGTCTTTTTAAGTGGATTATTAGCCATTGTTGGCAAGTGTGATTATCAAAATGGATTTATAAACCACACAGGATCAACACACAGCACATGTTTGATGTTAAAAACATTAAGCTGCAAAAGTCTTCATTTTTTTATTTTCCAGCCAGACTTTCTTTTCATTTTGTGAGGTGGTCTTGAGCACTAAGAGTTTTTTGTTTGGACATTTGTTGCTATTTTGCTCATTTTCAGTCCAGTCCTTACCTTTATAGGAATGTCGCATTTGCTAATACACTTAAAAGGCACCTAACTCGAG